CAAAGTATAAAATTTATTTTTCTAACATTCACCCTCATGCCATAATGCCAGTAAAGCTGGTATCTATATGCTATTACGTTCAACAAATAGTTCTTTTTTTCTTTTTCCTAGTGCTCCAAGTACTACTTTTTTTTAATGGCTTCACTGAGACAACATTCACACACCACACGTACTTTGTCAATTTAAAATGTACAATTCAGTGGTTTTCTGTACATTCAGAATTGTGCAACCATCACCGCAATCTAATTTTCAAACACTTTTATCATCCCCGAAAGAGACCATGTACCGTCAGCAATCACTCACCATCCTACATCAATCACATCGTGGATTTTTTTCCAATAAATATACAGTTGGACCTCCATATTGTCAGGTTTTACTTCTGTGGATTTAACCAACCTTGGATGGAAATTTCTATCTGTGGTTGGGTGAATCCTCAGATTCAGAATCTGAAGATATGGAGGGCCGATTGTACTATACCACTTTATATAAGGGACGTGAGCATCCTTGGATTTTGGTATATGCGGGGCCTCCTAGAATCGATCCCCCTCAGATACCAAGGGACAACTGTATACTACGTTTTTTCCTATACATGCATACTTACGATAAAGTTTAATTCATGAATTATGTACAGTAAGAGAATATCCAAATTGCTCGCACCACTACTCTTAGGCTTTGGGGTCATTAAGTAAAATAAGGGTTACTTGAACACAAGCGCTGCAGTACTGCAACAGTCATCTGATAACCCAGATGGCTACTATGTGACTAATGGTCGGGATATGCTGGACAAAGGGATGATTCATGTCCCAGGCAGGACAGAACTGGATGTCGAGAGATTTCATCACACTACTTAGAATGGTGTGAAATTTCAAACTATGAATTGTTTATTTCTGGAATTCTCCATTTAATATTTTTGGACTGCTGTTGACCGTAGGTAAATGAAATCTCAGAAAGCAAATCGTGGCTAAGGGGGGAGTTGACTGTACTTGCTTTTAGCAAGTTGATGATAAACTCTTAGTTACTGTTTATACTTCTGCTGATTTTTCTGATTTGGCTCCTTACCCTTTGGCCAGGGTCTTTTTCGCTTGTGCCTTTGCATTTACGTTTGGAATGAGATGGGAAAGTTGGTCCTATGAAAAGGTTCAAAAATTCTTTGATGATCATGGGGCAAAATTTTGGTTCCTTATGATTCCACCTAGAATAAAAGTTAGATTCCTCTCATCTCAACTAGTTGCTACGATAATTGTTAGAAATTAGGGAAACAATGGTTACATGACATGTGACAACAGTCATAATTAAAAGCCATGTTTATATTTAAAAAGCAACTATAACTCACTTATTATTTTTGCTTCATTGTCTATATTCAGGTTCTGTTTTATATGACCAAAGTTGTTTTAGAGGCTTATTCTTATTAAAAAAAAATGTTGGGACTTCCCTGGTGGCGCAGTGGTTAAGAATCTGCCTGCCAATGCAGGGGACACGTGTTCAAGCCCTGGTCCGGGAAGATCCCACATGCTGCGGAGCAACTAAGCCTGTGCGCCGCAGCTACTGAGCCCGTGAGCCACAACTACTGAAGCCCACGCACCTAGAGCCCGTGCTCCACAACAAGAGAAGCCACCGCAATGAGAAGCTCACACACCACAACGAAGAGTAGCGCCCGCTCACCACAACTAAAGAAAGCCCGCGAGCAGCAACGAAGACCCAATGTAGCCAAAGGTAAATAAAAATAAATAAATCTATTAAAAAAAAGTGTTGAAAGATTCTTCTTTAACAACTCTCTCATGTCTCTTTAGTCATTGAATTAAACTTTATGAAACCCGGATATAAAGACACCAAAACTCAGCCAAGTCAACTGAACTTCACTAGCTTTCCTAGACAACTTTATCACTCTCTGTAATGAGCATTCTCTCTCCCCATGGAGAACTTGAGTATAATTTTTTGTTTTATTTTCCCTTAAGCAGTCAGGGAATTTTCTCATTCTCTAGAAGCTGGCTGAAGGCTTCAGGTTTCCCCTGAGGTGTTCAGACAAACATGGCTGTACTAAAGTACTAACACTAATGTTTTTGTAACTTGCTATTTGCTTTCTATGTTGTTAGTCAATTGACTGGTGAACTACACAGTATAATGAGAATAAACATTTTCTTAATAAACTCAAAATTCTCTAGGTAGACTGAAAGTACTCTATGTACTACAGTGAGAAGAAAAACATATCCTTATTTTTACACAGTTATTCAAACTCTGCTACTATAGTTCTCTCAATCCTGCTGTAGAAAGTATACATTCAGGAATCCACTGCTGCATTAAGACGCTTTCGTTTTCCTGTTCCATCTTTTACAAACAAGTTTTCTAAAGCATTAGTCAAGGACACAGAATTTTATGTGGTTGTTGGCAGAGACACTTAACAAGTAAAATTTCTGGGGAAGAAAACGGGAACATACTCTATTTGCCCAGTTAATGACCAAATTAAAAGATAATGAGAATATGGTTTCAAATGTTCTCTCACTTATACGTAGTATTTTGAGCAATGGGAATGACCAATAAAACATCAGTTATCACCAAAGAAGAACATAGTGTAGTACTTACTTTTAAGGTTGCTATTGTTTTTTTTAATCACCTTTCAGGTCAGTGGCAGGAGGAGTGATTCACAGTTATCAACACTACTACTGAATCAGTGTTACCCACCCTCTGCACTTAGCTCCGAGGAAAGGCAGCAAAATTCAAGTTCATAAACCCATTTGGAAAATGCTGTGATTTGCAAAGTCTCATACCCACAAATGTTATAATAAGGACTGTCAATGGCAGATTCCAAATGGAATTTTCTTTGTATTTCTAGGAAGCGGATGCCTCAAGAAATTCAGTTTTACTCAGTGAAACCTTCATGCAAGAGGAAAACAGTCAATGACCTGTAAAGTTCAACAGAATTCATATGTCCATTACAAGTTCAACTTGTCCTTTCACTGCATAATCACCTCCATGATTGGCAAATACTGTTAAACATGACCTGTTTTCTCAAAGAAATATCAATTTTCTGGCCTCTGATTAAAGGAGAATACTGCTAGGGCAACCTCAGTACTACATACATTCAACACATTTTTGTGGAATTAACAGGAATACTATATAAATCAAATAATATGTGTATAAAAATGACAAAATACTTACAGATGACCAAAATTTAAGTTCTTAATAAACATAATCCCCATTGCCACTCTGGCCCCAACTGAGGTTTCCAAGGAGCAATTAGAAAGAATTATTTTTCTTAGAACAAGTCATGACAAGGATAGAATTAAGTCAACTATAATGCTCATTTTTTTCAAGAAATTGAGAATATTCAACTAGCAGGAAAATCTTAAAAGATACTAATTTTTTTGGTAGGAGAGAAGTACTTTGGAATTTTAAACTTCATAATGGGAAGACAGACCATAACATCTCTCTCACACCCCCACTAAATAAATAAATAAAAGAGATGAAAAATAGCACCAGTCAGGTTGTGGCTGCACACAGCTATCTCTGTTTATCAGCGTCTGATATCTGGACTGGGTGCTGTTCCCACAGTCTCATATCAGCACAACCATTTAGAAATGAAACAAATGACAGCAGGAAACAAGCAAAACAATTCTCCGGTTGTCTGGTACACATCACCACCTCAAACTTAGGATATAAAAGTTCTCTCCTAAAGTTTCTAAATATCAACTCATTAACTTGTCCCCAGACAAACAAACAGGGAGGTCCTTATTAGAACTGGATGAACTACCTCTGTGGTCCGTGACATGAAAGTTTTTAGCATCCTCATCTAAGGTATGTTCCAAAACACAAGAGGTGTCACAGACAGTGGCACAGCCCTAAAGGAACTCATAACGAGTTCCCCCTCCTATTATATAATGCTCATCCCTGTGCTGTGTTCTATTCCATCATCATCCCCTGAGGTCAGGTGGTAATAAGCTCTTCATCTTTAAAGAGGAGGGAACAAATGCAACATGTTATGCTATTCTCTGCTGACCATGACTGACGAATTGGAGCAGCATACTGACCCAAGCAGAGACAATTAGATTCTCTCTCCCAGGATCTGAGAATTAGGACTCTGATCAGTCAGCAAAAGGCATGACACTCCCAAGGACATGTTAAGGGTTGGGAGGGAAAGGGGGTGGGGGAGGGGTCGGGGTTGCTATTTCAGTCAGCAAATAGGGAAAACGGGCCTACGGAAAGCAGCGGCAGAATAAAACTGAAGCAAAAAGAAGCAGATAACAGAAACTAAATGCCCCAGAAAGAGAGGTTTGTTTTTTTTTTTCTAATTTTAAGAATTATCATTCCTTATGTATGTATGTATGTATGTATGTATGGCTGTGCTGGGTCTTCATTGCTATGCATGGGCTTTCTCTAGTTGTGGTGAGCAGGGGCTACTGTTCCTTGCGGGGCACGGGCTTCTCATTGCAGTGGCTTCTCCTGTTACAGAGCACAGGCTCTAGGAGCATGGGCTCAGTAGTTGTAGCGCGTGGGCTTAGTTGCTCCATGGCATGTGGGATCTTCCCGGGCCAGGGCTCGAACCCATGTCCCCTGCATTGGCATGCGGATTCTTGACCACTGGACTACCAGGGAAGTCCCAAGATAGGCTATTCTGAATGAATCCAATGGCTTTTCCATTTCAGGTTCTCATTCTCTGAAATCTAGGTGTACATCTTCCCCTTGAGTTCCGTGAGAAAAGTTTGCACACTTCTTATAAAATCCCTCCTTTTGTTTCTCCGTAATTAGTTTGAGTGGTTTTCTTGACTAATAAGATTTCTAATTATTAACAATCATTGATTTAGGGTTGACTTTCTTCAACTACTTGTTAATAATCATCAAAATTTTTTTCCCTTGATTTGAGATGTCAATCCTTTATTTACCTATCATAGGTTTCTCAGGGAACAAGATCACAGCCAGATCTTGGGAAGAGAGGGGTATTGTTATTTTTAAATTTAGCAATGAGAGGAAAATTTTTTTATTGACAAAGTAAGGTAACTACTTACATAATCTGGTAGAGGAACATCATTGGAACTCAGCGAACCTCTCAAGGACTGTGTGGCTTGTTCCAGAACTTTGTTGTGTTTTTTAGACAGCAAGGAAAACAAGCTGAAAAAAAAAAAACAAAACCCCAATTATATTAAAAGAACTAAGTGTCTCCTTTTCTAGGTTTTATATTGACATTCCACAGAATGTCGATTATTCTAAAAGATTCTTCTTTTCGTGCCTGTGTTAACAGCAGGATTAACAACACTCTTGATATAACAAATAATAAAGTGAAAAGAATGTTTAAATTATAAGGGTTCTAAAATAAAAGTTTGCCAGTTTCAAATTATATTTCAAACAGAGGAGGAATTTTCAGAAGACTACTATCATGGACAGGACAGCGGACAGGTATTAAGAAAACCTGAGATATGGACTGACTTTATGAGTAACTCATAGTGCAATCTGTTACAAGTTACTTGAGCTTGCTGTATCCCAATTTTCTCATCTTTTTTTGGTATCTTACTGCATGGGTTTATTTATTTTATTTTATTTTTTTAACATCTTTATTGGAGTATCTCATCTTTCAAATAAGTGCACTGGATTATTTCTCTAGCATAATACAGAGTCTATGATTCTATATTATAGCTTTATATTCTTATTCTCAAAAAGAATGGCTTTAAACATATGTATTATAAGAGTTTTACTTTACTGGTACTGAATAACTCCCCTGTGTAAACAACTAAAAAAAACTGAACAAAATACATAAAATAACTGTTTTCAGATGTTGAACATCTGAAATGTTCAAAACCTGCCCCAGTGTCTTCTTGAACGTTTGGCTAAATGCAAAGAAAAGACCCCACAAGGTGTGGCAGTAAACCACCATCCAGGAGCCACAAACTGAACAGAGATTTTGGAGATCACAAAAGGCTGGAGGTATGCTGAAGTTCCAACCAGCCAGAGTGGATAAAACTCACTGAACATGAACACTCAGTTGAATTCTCAGAAACGCCACGCTTTAGGAGTAGGGCTATTCTAGCACAGAGTAAAGATGATTCTAAGATGCATCCCAACAGACCTAAATGAGCAATTTTCAAAGTATAAAACAAATTTACATTAAATGTAAATGGATTAAACACTCTCGTTAAATGACAGAGATTGTCAGACTGGATAAAAAAGCAAAACCCAGTAACATGCTATTTATAAGAGGCACGCTTGTAAATTTAAAGATACAGATAAGTGAACAGTAAAACGATACAAGAGAGATATTGTATAAACACTAATCATAAGAAAGCTGGAGCGGCTATATTAATATTAGACAAAGTAGGCTTAAGGATAAGAATATTATTACCCAAGATAAAGAGAGAAATTTTATAGTGATGAAATGGCAAATTTATCAAGAAGCTATAACAATCCTAAATGTGTATGTACCTAATAATAGAGCTTCAAATACACATAATTATATGATCCTAATGTTAAAGCTACTATATCTAGTGAATAAAGAATTCTTCCTTGGGCTAGATGACAAGTTAAAAATACAGACAGTTCTGATTCCATGTACTTTTCCATTTAAGTATGACCTGTAGTATCTTCTTTAATGCCCAAAACATTACTCTAGTATTTCTTAGTGGTATCTTTCTAAACCGAATATTGATTTGAATATCAATTTATGAAAATCTCTACTTATTTCAAATGGTTTAAATGGGATAATTACTGAAAACAAGACTACTAAGTATTCTTTCTAGATTAAGTTTTAACAATAAAATGTTAAAAAATGAATGAAAAAAATTCCTTAACACTTATTGGTAATGCTGGATGTGTACAAAGCAAATGTAACAAAGCCAAGAATATTCTCTAAATCTATACTCAAATACAGCAGGAAAATAAGTGAAATAATTACTAAGTGAATAAGTGTGAAATCATATGATACTGATCAAGCATATGTTGATAAGAGAGACTTCTTTGAAATGGAATAGTTCAGCAAAGTTTCATGAAGGGTTAGACTTTATGAAGAAGGAAAAAGATTTGTGCAAGAGAAGAGAGAGGCATTTCCAAACAGAAGGCAAATCACAGAGGCAAAACAGGGGACAGTGAGAAGACTGAAGTGGAAGTGATGTAAAGAAGTAGGGAAAAAGACTCAATCTGTAAGGGTATGTATATTCTTTTCAATCATTTTACTTTTCTGGGTCTTCTCTATTTGAGGTTTAGTTTTGCTTGTTTTTTCTTTTTTAAGGTTAAAAGTAAACATCACACTTTTTCCTCACATCCATACCCACGATCCACTGGTAACAAATGTTAGCAGTTTATTATCTATGATTCCAACAATATTATATGCATCAAGGCATGTATATGAATGAATACTGTACATATACATCCATGTTTTCTTCCCACAAAATAGGTACTGCTCTGTACCTTGCACTTTTTCCACTTAACAATATAATCCTTGATTCGTTCAATAAACACATACTGGGTGCCAGTTAACTGATATCCAAGCATATGGATATACCTTAATTTACCTAGTCCATTAGAAATGAATCACTGCAATGGTTCCAGTTTTTTGTATTATAAATAGCACTGCAATGAACGCCCTTGTACATAATTTTTAGTATATCTGAGGTGAGACTGACTATAGATAAAGTAAAACTGCTGAGTAAAAGAATAACTGAACATAGTACTAAACTGCAATGGGGGTATATATTCTTAAATATGCAAATTATTTTGCAGGCAATGAAAAATAAAAGATAAAAATATGTTGGGATAGTGCATAAAGCATATTCACATGGAAATGCATAAAAGAGGGCAATTAGTAAGATTCTTTTAATTGGTTGTAGTGTATTTTCTGGAATAAATGGAGTTTCAGAAGTTTTTTGAGACTGAACGGACTTTGGTGGTTGATTTTAGTATAGGGCATGGCAAGACTCAGAGGCATCAATTGGATGCCCAAACAAAAAGCAAAAGCAATAAATATACCTGGAAGAAGTGAGCTTTTTGGTGTTAGTAAGAGGAAAGCGGACAAGTGAAGTACAGCAGTGCACTTTAAGTTTACAAAATACCAGGAGCTGTTTTATGGGTTCAATAAACCTGGGATTTTCTCTGTCAGTGTTCTAAGAGTGTACCCTTCAGAGAAGGACAACAGAGGTAACCTATGGTAACTTTTATCATCACTTTCAGAAATTTATGGAACAAGTCCTAGGAATCAAAGCAAAAAGGATTTGATATTGTTTCCTTTGGAGAAGAAAGCCTAGTTTGTTTATTTTAAAAGAGAATACTAACAATCCTTTTTCCTTGTTGGTAAAAGACAAAACAAGGAAGAGAGCTGCAATTCAAACATAAGCTCTTTCAGTTGCACATAACAGAAAATTTGACTGTTATGGGCATAAAATGTTGACATGGTCCACCTCAAGAAGCTGTGGTTACTGCTCCCAGCTGTTTTTAAGAAAGTTGGTGTAAGAACAGATGATTTGAGGTCACTCCCAGTTTTCTATCATGAATTAAAAACAGAATTCACACTTACTCAGGCTGTTATTCTTCTACAATCTAATATGCTTTTTTCCTCAGGTCTGCTAGCCAGAGCTCTCAAAGTTGTTGTGTTTTTTTTTTTTAATTTTTAAAAAACATTCTAATTTTGTCTCCTGTTTAGCATTTGTAGGGCAAAATGACCTAAATTTATATGAGACATGACTTTCAAATTGCTGAGAAAAGTAACTTTTGCTTAAAGCTTTTGCATTCAAAGTACCAGCCCCAGCTAAATGCTAGAGTGAGTGACACACATGATGTTTGTATGGAAGGGGTAATTCCGATTCTGGACATAAGTGAAACTGATTCCAAGTGTATTGATCTTCACTCAGGATACTTTTTTATTTAAATTAGAAAAAGACTAGATTTTCCTTTTTGTACAAGAATGTTCATTGTAAATTGGTTTAACAGTGAAAATTTAAAAACAACAAAAACTCTCAGGAATGGAATGGGTAAATAAACTGTGGAAGGGTCATACAATGGCATACTATGTAGCAATTTAAGGTTATCTAAAACTATGTGTAACAATAGGGATAATCCTCAAAAACAATGTTGTTCTACAAGCAAGGACCCTTGTAGAGAATGTGAATGAGGTATTATTTATATAGTGTTTTTAACATGCAAAACATTACACATCTTCTACAGATAAAACATTTGAAGTAATAAAACATATACGGAAATGATAAACACTACATTTAGGATAGTCATTATTCTCTGAGAAAGAAGAGAGGAAATAGGATCAGGGAGGAAGAAATAAGAGGTTCAGCTCTCTCTCTCTAAAATGTTCTTTCAGTAATACTGCATACATACATAGGTGACTGCTATATTACTGGGGTTTTTTTGGTGTATACCTGAAATATTACACATTTTAAAAACTGGAATAAAAAGAACACACTATCCTGAAGAAAACAGAGCCCCGGCCAAAAGCCAGCGTTTCACAAAAGAAAGAAGCACATAAATATGCATGATGAGTCCAACCTGGAATGTGCTCAGAAAACCACTGGCTGCTGCCAAGGGCTGTCCTTTAGGGCGCCCAGCTGGTGGCAGGAGATGAGGACAGTTTAAAGACAGACTGTGAAGGGTCGCTTGTGGCACATCAAAAGTCCTGGACCTTTCTGTATGGAGTAAGAAGCTAATGTTACAGTCTTACAAAATGAGTTAAAGAGACATGATTCCTTGCCCCCAAGGAAATCAAGTCTAATGGAATAAGGGGGAAAAAATGTCTACAATACTGAAATCAGAGAACTCCATGGGTCTGAAGAGAGTGCCATGGGAGTACAGTTGAAGGTTAGGTACGCTTCACAGAGGAAATCTCCCTTGATGGTGGCCTTGAAGGTTAGGGGGTTTGCTTGTTGGGAAAAGTAAAGGGGGAGGGAGAGCCATTCTGAAAGGGGGAAAAGTGTATAGAAAGGCACAGAGAGACTTCAGGGAAGTACCAATAGCTTATAAGGCCAGAAAAGTGCAAGTCCACTGCGGCAGAGGGTTCGAGATGGCGAGAGATGAAGCTAGCAAGGTCAGCATGGGCCTGTTAAAGACCATGCAGGAGGTCTGCACTAAGTCACTGAGACAGACAGTAACTCAAACAGTTACCAAGAACCTACTACATGCCA